CTCCACTCACAGCACAGAAGCGCCCTTATGCAGCAAATGGGATTAACGGAGAACTAAAGGTGGCCAATGTGTAGAGAACAAGAGACTGCAGACTGCTTATCCCTGAATATGACGCCTGCATCAAACTTTTCCACTCACAGCACAGAAGCACCCTTATGCAGCAAATGGGATTAACGGAGAACTAAAGGTGGCCAATGTGCAGAAAACAAGAGACTGCAGACTGCTTATCCCTGAATATGACGCCTGCATCAAACTTCTGCCTCCTAGGGCTGAAGGATCATTGTGGAAGAGGACTGGAAAGATCCTAAGAGCCAGAGGAAAGTGGACATTTCTGTTCGTCACCATGAAAGACAGAGCTACCAAAATCCCACAGGAGACACAGGGTGCTGTAAAACTTCACAGTACACAGGGCAGCCCCTCTCCAGCAAAGAACTACCCGTAACTAATGCCGACGGATGGTGCATCTGGACGAAGACAGAAAACAAACTTATGTCTATATTTATGACACCCAAGTCAATGTTTAACTACAAACGACTTGCCCTACAGTCAGCAATACAAAGTGTTGCATTAGTACCACCAAACCCAAAGGAATTGGTGAGTCCAATACATCGACCCTCAGTTTCCCATTCCTGTGCCTCCAGTGGAACATAATTGAGATTGAATTCTGGCAGCCCCTCTCCAGCAAAGAACTACCCGATAACTAATGCCGACGGATGGTGCATCTGGACGAAGACAGAAAACAAACATGTCTATATTTATGACACCCAAGTCAATGTTTAACTACAAACGACTTGCCCTACAGTCAGCAATACAAAGTGTTGCATTAGTACCACCAAACCCAAAGGAATTGGTGAGTCCAATACATCGACCCTCAGTTTCCCATTCCTGTGCCTCCAGTGGAACATAATTGAGATTGAATTCTCTGGCAAGAAAAGACAGTTATCAGAACTAAGCTTGATTTCAACTATCTGGCGGGCTTAAGTGAAACAAACACAGGCATCCAAGTGCTCTGGGTGAGCTCCACCCTGGGATACCACAGGACTCAATCCACGAGCACAAGAATGTGTCACGCCCAGGACCTCGGACGGGTTCATCACCCTGAGCTGCACACACTACACTACCGACAGCACTGTCTCCAATGTCCATTTATTTCAATTGGCATTTTACCTTGGTGAGGGGATGTTAAGTCAAGACTTGGGATGATTTTCCTCCTGGGAGTATTTTATGAATGGGGTGTAGACAGGAGATGTAAAAAAATGGAGATAGAAAAGTTTTAAGTTTTCTTTTACATTAAAGTATAAAACTTGGGCACATTTCCCTATCCAAGTGCTCTGGGTGAGCTCCACCCTGGGATACCACAGGACTCAATCCACGAGCACAAGAATGTGTCACGCCCAGGACCTCAGACGGGTTCATCACCCTGAGCTGCACACACTACACTACCGACAGCACTGTTTCCAATGTCCATTTATTTCAATTGGCATTTTACCTTGGTGAGGGGATGTTAAGTCAAGACTTGGGATGATTTTCCTCCTGGGAGTATTTTATGAATGGGGTGTAGACAGGAGATGTAAAAAAATGGAGATAGAAAAGTTTTAAGTTTTCTTTTACATTAAAGTATAAAACTTGGGCACATTTCCCTATAATCTACTACTTTAAGACTTCAAATAGCCTTTCAAAATTCTCTTTATTTGGGTTGTAGGAATTCTACTGTAGGAGTTGGAGAAGTGGCTTAGCTGTTGAGAGCACTTTCTGATCTTGCAGAGGACCCAGGTTTGGTTCTCAGCACCTACATGGTGGCTCACAAACAATCTATAACTACTTCTGGCCTCCACAGGCACTGGCATGCATGTGGTCCACATATACACAATGCAGATAAACTCTCATATACATAAATAAAAGAATCCTAATGTAGAATTAGAGCCAGGAAAAAAAGTCTAAAAAATAAAAGTCTCTGAGCTGGATGTGGGGCGCACACAACTGCAATCCTAGCACTTGGGAGGCTAAGGCAGTAAGATTTTGAATTCAAGGCCAGCTTGGGCTACAGAGCGTGCCAAAATTCTTTATGACACTTTGGTAACATTCTGGATGGCATTGTCATTGCTTTACTTTCTGATCTCGGCATAATTTTTTCACTAGATGAAGCAGCTTCCTGGTTAGTATGCTAGACACACTGAATGTCAGTCAGGACACACCACGGCTTAAAAGTATACATTAAGGATCAGCGCACTGTGGCTCTGGACAAAGGCTGCGTTGTAAATACACCCCCCCAGGGAGTTGCGTTGTAAATCATCCTCACCCGTTCATTTATGTACGAGGGGCGGCCTTCACACTACAAGACTGGCAGAGCACAAGGGTCACAACACACAACAATGATCCTGGGTCTACAGAGTCAGAAATACTATTTGTCCCTTTACAGGAAAGCTTGCTAACTCCTGGCTGATTTAACTGGATAAAACCTAGTCGGGTCTATGAAAGCTATTAACTAAGTAACAATTATCAGGGACTGTTTTCAGAGTGGTCCCAGGAGCTTGTTAGGAATTTGAGTCTCTCAAGCAGCACCCTAACCCAGTCAGAGTCCACACTGCGGTAAGACCCCTAGGGAGCTCAAGGCTGAGCAGTGCTGGTCTGACAGAACAGAACCTCATCAGACAGACCTGACCTGCTGCAGGTTCAGAAGACTGAGGGTCAGAACACTCATGACTACCAAGCCTTGGAGACACAGGACGCTGCAAAGACACCACTCTATTGGCCTTGACTGAAGTTCAGTTTTTCTAAGGATGTGCAAATGCTTTCAAACATTCAAGTATAGAATTTTAAAAAGTACTACTAGTTAAAATGGAAAAAACACAGAGATGCACGGGGCAGGAGAGGTGGCTGGGAGGTTAGGGGCACTGGCTGCAGCTTGCAGAGGACCTGGGTTCACAGATCCATGGATGGGTTAACAACCATCCATGTAACTCCACGTCCAGGGGATTCCAACGCCCTCTTCTGACTTCCATGGTCACAGCATGACACAGTGCACTTACATCCATGCAGGTAGTACTCATACACGTAAATAATTTTTTTTTAAGAGTAAACACTAGGACCTGATAATGCAGTCGTCTTTAGGTGGAGACGCCAATGGTGTCTTCCATGAAAAAACATCTTGAACAAAGCCCAGACTGTACCTGAGGGCACCCTCTCCTTCGGGATCCGGGGCAGTTATGTGCCCAGCATCCCCAGACAGTCCATAGCCCAGGACTTCTGCATAGACGCGCGCTCCTCTCCGCACCGCGTGCTCGCGCTCCTCCAGCACCAGCACCGCCGCGCCCTCCCCCATGACAAAGCCATCCCTGTCGGGGTGGAAGGGTCTGCAGGCCACCCTGGGGTCCGCGTTCGTGCTCAGCGCCCGGGCCCTGCAGAAGCCTGCGAGGGACAACGGGCTGATGCAGGAGTCGGTGCCTCCGGCCACCATCACGTCAGCGTCGCCGTGAGCCACGAACCGGAACGAGTCTCCCACGGCGTGCGCCCCTGAAGTGCAGGCAGTGGACACCGCGTGGTTGGGGCCCTTGAGTCCGTGGCGAATGCTGACCTGGCCCGCGGCCATGTTGATCAGGATCTTGGGCACAAAGAAGGGGCTGACTTTGCCGTAGCCTCTGGTCTGGAACGTCGAGGCCGTGTCGCAAACCACCTCGAGAGGAACCATGCCCATGCCAATAGCAACGCCCGTGGCCGCCCGGTCTGCTTCGGCCTCCGGGTGCCAGCCCGCGTCCTCCAGGGCTAACTCTGCTGCCGCGAGGGCCAGCACGGTGGGGGACGACATGGCCTTGGTGTCGGACCTGGACACGAAGTGCTGCTCGTGGAACTGGCCCTCGTCCGCGCCCCGGGGCACGTGCGCGGCGACTCTGCAGGGCACGCTCCTGTAGTCATCGCCGACCAGCGAGGCGATGCCACTTTCTCCCCGGAGGAGCCGGTCCCACACCAGCTGCGCGCCCACCCCCAGGGGCGTCACCAGCCCGAGGCCGGTGATGACCACCCGCCGGGGCGCTCGAGGTGCTGGCACCGAGCCCGAAAGCCTCCGCTCGGTTATCACCCGCCAGCACTGGGCTGCAGAGGAACGTGTGCTTGTGGCCTGGAGGAGGCGCAGGCAGAGGGACGGCATGGTTCCGGGGTCACGAGCACATTCCTGAGCACACCACACCAGATGCGCCAAGTGCGGAGCGGGGCCCTGCGACTGCTGGGGTGCTCGGGGACGGGGGCGGGATCAAGGTGAACCACTGTGCTTTCAGGCTGCAAACACCCTGGACAGCGTCCAGGCCGCCCACCCCGAGGCGGGGTGCTCGGCTCAGTCTTCACTGGGCTCACCGTATAGGCCGCGTGAGGCGGGGCGGGCCAAGCCTGCTCTGGGAGGAGCAACGTTCCCCGCCCCGGCGGCCCGAGGCCGCAGCCCCGCAGTGGCGTGGCAGGCAGGCCGAGTGGCTCCCCGGCTCCGCTGCAGGGCGCTGCGGTACGGCGGAGAGCGTAGGCTACCACGGCGCAGCCAGGATCTAGTGCGCGTGCGCACTCAGAGCTGCGCTTCCGGGCCCAGTGACTCGGGAGCCGGGTTCAGAGGTCAGAACGAGGGCGGGACTTCCGGTGCGACCGGGTCAGCCGCCTGAGCGCGCAGGGTGGCTTTTGAGTGCGGGCCGTGTGCAGACATTCCGGGTGGGAGAAGGGGCGTCATCGCCTCCCCGGAAGTGCCCGGGAGGACGGGGTGTGGTCTCAAAGTCGCCTCGCCGTCGGTGCAGAGGCACTTATGGACTGCTCCCTAATGCCACTCACCGGAAACTAAGGTCATTTCGGGAATCCCCGACCCCACACACCCGCCGCTGGCAGTTCCGCTGGCGACCAAGATGTCGTGTGCAGATGGTGGGACTTAATGTCAGTCACAATCCAGAATTTAACTCCAATTTAAAAAATAATATCGGGGGCTTGAGAACGGGCTCAGCAGTTAAGAGCACTGGCTGCTCTTGCAGAGGACCCGGGTTCCAGTCCCAGCAAACCACATGGTGGGTAATCATGGTACCTACCACCATGGTAACTCCAGTTCCGTTCCAGGGGATCCTACGCCCTCTTCTGACCTCATCCGGCACGGGTGCACTTACACACATACAGGCAATGCACTCATACACATAAAATAAAAAGTAAAATACAAAAAAGACAATAATAATGAAAGATCTGCCAAGAAGTCGTGCGTGGTGCACGTCAGGCATCCCTGCACTTGGGAGGCTGAGACAGGAGGATCAGGAGCTCAAGGCCATCCTCACTTTGAGTAGGTTCAGGCTAGCCTGGCCTACCTGAGACAGAATCGAACCAAAGTCCTGTGATGCCTGCCTCCGTTTTTTCTTACCCTTATTTCTGTTTTTATAGTGAGCCGCCATGCTTTCTGCCAGTTTGGGTGGTATTTCGGGGCTTTGTTTCTGAGAACACTGTTCTCTCTTCTTTTCCAGCTGTACAAAAGAATTTAGGTCATGCATGGCTTTTTCTTGGTTAGTCCTGGGTTTGCATGACTAGGGAAATCCACATGGTCTGACTAGTCTAGGGAAGCCAGGTCTGACCCTCATCACAGGGCCATTCAGCCCCTTAGGAAGGATGATCTCCATGCAGTGAAGATGGTGTTACATGAAGAAAAATTAAATATCTAGTTAAGTAGCAACCATGACTTGATGGGTGACAAGGATCTAAATCTACTTGCTTTTTTCATTGTAGCATACTTTTAAATAACAATGTGAAAAACCTTGAATGCTTCTTTTGAGGCCAAGTTCATATAAAACACAATTTTAGTGTGCTGCCTTTTTTCTTCTGTGATATCACAGCATCACCTGAACACAAAGCTTGGGACTGGAGAGATGCTGAATGGGCACATGCCTGTACAGGTGAGGACCTGTACCCAGATCCCAGCAACTACATAAAAGGCCAGATGTGGCTGTGTATGCCCTGTAACCCCAGTGCTATGGGGGTTGGAGACAGGCTCACTGAGGCTTGCTGGCCTCTAGCCTAGTTCCAGGTTCAGTAAGAGACCCTGTCTCCAAGGAATAGGGCAGGGGATGATTGGTGTCCTCTGACCATTCTTTCACCCCTCCACAGCTGTGCACATCTGCTGGCACATGCACCCAAACGCCTGTTGCATAGTGCTATCCTCCAGGCATAACAGCCATCATCTTCACTAGAGCAGCTCTGGCTACATGCAAGAGACCCTCAAGATCAGGCCTATTGACTGTTGGTGCCCCCCACCCAGAAGGAGGAGGTGAGGAAGGCCACTGGACCCTCACCTGGTCCAGGGACTCCCTCCTTTCTGTACCTTTCTGCAATCTGTAAGTGATTCTGCACTAATTGCCTGGCTGCATGCAGCCTCCTGGTCTCAGGCGGTGCTATGGTGTATAGACTGGGAGAGTAACTGAAAGGGGGACTCCATCCATACAGCTATGGAGAAGTCGTCATCCATGCTGGGTGAGACTTTCCGGTGCTACGTTGTTTGGGGGTCACCCACACTCCTGTAGGTAACCCCTACTTGGTAAATAAGCCAGGTCAACTCATTGGTACCCCAAGTTGGACTTTGGTGAACTTGTACTTTGGTTTGTTGTTGGTGGGCTGTAAGGAGGGGTAGACACATGTCTGTATCTTCCCAGGGAAAGAAGTCTCTAAACACCACACACACACACACACACACATCAAACATACACACCAAAGTGATAAAAGTTAAAATCTCGTAGAAAAATAAAAAGACCATCATGTTTTAAAAAAATAATTTTCTGTGTGTTTAGCATGCTTATATGTTGAGTGCATTGTGTGTGTGTGCGTCTGTGTGTGTGTGTGTGTGTGTATGTGTGTGTGTGTGTGCTTGGCACCCATGGAGACTAGAAGAGGGTGTTGGGTCCCCTGGAACTGGAGTTGCAGACAGTGGGGACCAAGCCTTGGTCCTCCTGCAAGAGCAGCAAGTGCTCTTAACCACTGAGCCATCTCTCTAGCTCAAAAATCATTTTTTTCTATCTCTGATCATTTTTAGGTCCATCTGGAAAGGATTAAAGATTTTCTGGAACTCTAACAGCTGTACAAGTTAGTACCTCATCTCTTGCTACTACATAGTGCATTTTTTCACCCATCTTCAGACTAGTTCTGCTTATCATGACCTCCTCTTAAAATTCCATAGACTTTTTGCAATCTGATTTAAAACTTTATTTCCAAATAAAGCTCTCATTTTATTTTTCTGTTCAATAGACCTTCTATTCAACAGACTGAACTTCTCACTGTGACAATGTTGTGACGCACAGGACACAATGAAGTCAGTGCTCCTCATTAAGCCAGGAAAGGCTGCAGGGGAACCTGGGGTTCAGTATGGAAACAAGTGCATGTCTGTTGAGTCAGTGTGGGGGACAGACATTCCAGCTGGCGTACGGCACAGGCCCAGAGGCACAGTGCCAAGTGGCTTCTGCAAAGTTTCAAGTTGGGCCAGTGAGATGGCTCTGCAGATAAAGGTACTTGCTACCAAGCCTGATGACCTGAGTTTGAGCTCCAGAACTATGTGTGCCATGGTATGTGGGCACACCTGCCCCCCTCACACAAATTAATAAAATATAGTGCAAATATTGAAAACTTGAGGGGCTGGAGAGATGGCTCGGCAGTTAAGTGTTTGCTATTCTTGCAGAGGGCCAGAGTTCAGTTCCTAGCACCCACATCAGACACCATCTTCTAGCCTCCACAGCCACATGCATACATGCACCTAAATTAAAAAAAAAATGCTTAAAATGTTTAAAAAACTGAAGAAGTGGGACAGAGCTGCAGTGAAGGCTTTGCGTAAGCCCAGGGCCAGACACAGAGTCCTCTTTGGATTTGATCCTACAGGTCAGAGACCATACACCAAGAGTCCTGAGCTAATTCAGTGCCACATTCTTTTGTTGAATCTAAATTTCCCCAGGCACAACATTGTAAGCTCATTCCAGTCAGCAGTTGTGTCGTGTGTCGTCGTCATCGTTCCCCCCACCCCCAAACAAAGCCGCTTGACTGATGACTCCTGTTCTCTGTAGAATGTAGACAGCAGGAGCTATGGGGAGCTTAGCGCAGCCAGATGTGCACTTAGGAATGGATGCCAGCTGCAGCAGTGCCTGCGTGGGTAGGACAGGTACAGCAGTAGGCACAGCAGACTTAGGACTGGGTGATGGAGAGTTGGACTGTGATGAAGGACAGGCATGCAGGAAACCTGGGGGAGGAGACTGCTAGGATCCAGTGCATGGTGGAGGATTCAGGGTCTCTATAAGCTGGGAAGTCTCCCGATCTACTGAACATCTCAGTGTAAGGATTTGGTCCAGATTCTCTCATCTCGTGAAATTCTTCCTCTTACCCCATCACGTGCATCAAAGTGCAAGCACATGGACAACACGGTTGCTGAGCCACCTTTAAAGATGAGGCTTACAACTGCAATTCCTGCACCTCCTGAACTCAGGAGGCTGGGGCAGGAGTGCCAGGAGTTTGAGGCCAGCCCATGCCACACAGTTCTATATCTAGGTTACGGACTGAGACCCCATCTCAAAGAGAATAAATAAAAGATGGGGCTTGAGGATTTGTTCTCCATCATGATGTTGATAGACTTGCTCTGATCTCATTGTGACTTCCACAGAGGCAGGGACAGTGCTTGCTGCCCCGCCCACTCAGGGACTACAGTTGGCAGTCACCTCAAGGATGGTGAATAAATAAATCATGAAATGAATGAATGAACCTGTGCCCTGACACGCTGGCGCTGGCTGCAGGTGCCATGCTCTTCGTGCATTTATAACTAAATGACCTTTCACCTCTTTTCACGATAACTCTTATTTTGGGGTATCTGGGTATGTCTTCATCACTAAAGTCCTTTATGCCATTTGTCACACTGCTTTGCATTCAGTGGGCACTGAATTCTGGTGCAACATCAGATAGAATCACACAATGATGACTTACAACATCAATTCCTGAATGGCTTTCACCCCTCTCTGCTGATGGCCTTAGGTCAATATTTCCTCCTTTTTTTAAAATTTATTTTTATTCTATGTTGTGCTGGATAGCTTTAGTGTCAACTTGACACACCTGGGTTGAGGGAGCCTCAATTGGGGGATTGCCTCTACCGGAGTGGAGTGGCCACGTCTGAGTGGCATCTTCATGATGAGTGATGTGGGAGGGCCCAGCCCACTGCGGGTGGTGCCACCCCTGGGCAGGTGGGCCTGTGTTGCATAAGAAAGCAGGCTGAGCAGGGGCCAATGTTAGTCCTTTTTAAAGTAATTACTTGTCAGGTATGGTGGTGCTTGACTTTAATATCAGCCCTCAGGAGGCAGAGGCAAGTGGATCTCTGTGAATTCAAGGCCAGCCTTGTCTACATAGTGAGTTCCAGGACAGCTGGGACTACAGGGAGACCCTGTCTCAAAAAGCAACCCCCCCCCTCAAAATTTTCTGTGTATGAGTGTATTGCCTGCATGTAGGTAAGTGCACCTGTGTCATGCAATGCCCGTGGAGGACAGAAGAGGCCATTAGATCCCCTGGAATTGGAGTTATGGACAGTTGTTAGCTGCCATGTGGGTGCTGGGATTCGAACCTGGGTCTTCTTCAA